GAAGGGATCGCTGTCAATTAATTTCAAAAGCAGTTGTCGCACCGCAGGCGTGCAAACACCAACACAAGCATTTCTTTCATTGGGGAACTTTCTTGTAGATTATATTATATTTCAATCCATCTTATGATCAGTTGGGGTTGTTGTAAAATGATAATGAATATATAGGTTATTGTAGCATGATTCGATATTCCTCTGCAACAATAATTTTCAAATTTGCTTGACCGGCAACGTACACATATTTGTTCCAACTCGCCGCAGAGGTGAGATTGGCAGGAAACGCGATGCATTCTGGGGCGTTCCTTCAGCGGACAATGACCCCTTGTTTTAAAATGCGTGCGTCACCCCATACAGGCTCGGCGTCTTTTAGACAAATTATCAAAGGAGATTTAAATTCTTCAACATATAAATTTGGATAGACTTTAAGATCCTTCTAAATTTTGCGATCAATCTGAACAAGCAAAACAAACCGGAAGTTTACTGGAACGCAGCCTGTGAATTTCATGTTTACAAAAAAATCAGAAGACATACACAAGAAAAACTGTTCTTGGTAGAAGAACTTCCTTGATGCCTGCGGTAAGCCCCTGAGCGCTATCAATGGGTTCTTCGGGCCAGGGCAGCCCAACTTACCGGCAACATGTGGACCGTAGGTTGATCGGCGCGGTCAGCATCGCCCAGTCAGCTTTACCAGTACTTTTTCGTAGTTTAGACGGGCCAGTCATTACTTAACGTTATAATTTCACGGGCGTCAGGCGTCATTCCTACCGGAAGATTCCACTCTACTCTAGACGTACTCTTTAGTAAATCTGTCCCCGAGTCTACCTCGGTATTTTCGGTGATTTATGACAAGTTTCTCAACGAATAGTCCTCCTGGGTCCAGTATAGGGAAAGAAGGCAGTTAACTTACCGGTACTGATTAAATTAATAGTAAGACAGCCTTACCAAACTGCCAGTTTCAACCAAACTTTGCGGGTATATTTGTATTTGGTCTGAAAAAAATCCCAGCGCAAACCTTGTCATGTATAGAATAACGTCGGGCTCCGGCCGCGATATTTTGCGCCGCGGTTTTTGACTGAATCCTCTTTTTATATTAATACATATGAACAGTATGTACAAATAATTTCTCTCTACCTTGATTTCTATGAAAATACTTACCACAAAGTCGCCAAGCCGATACCACAATGGATGACGGGATACCGTCACAACATCACCGTCGCCATCTTGTTATTTTGGTAGAGAGGGAAGTTATGGCGATTGTCGTAAATCCCCGTGTAGATGTTAGCATTAGAGGGCCACCTTATTCTAGCACGCAATAACATATAGCGTTACACTTTAATCATCGTTATTGAACATTCTTGCCCAGATGGGCTAAGTTATAGCCCGGTATATAACCGCCGGTAAAGAATACTTTGCTCCGATATTTGCTTCGAGATGTTGACCAACTCACTCACTCACACACACATGCTTTTCGGCGACCCTACTTATTCATAACTTCGTCATTTAGATGGCCCCACCATCACACTCTCGTCAACGTTGTAATTTTACTGTACACACCTCAATATCATTCAGAAATATTTGAAATACATTGTAAATATGTTGCCGACTCTACGTGGATATTATCGGCGATTCAGTGTTTCTCAACGAAAACTCCTCTCGGTCCTGTTGAAGACTCTGTGAGTGGAGGAAAGAAAGCAACAAGTTAACTTTCTGACTAATACTTAGACTAAATCAAACGTTGGCATTTGGTCTAACTATAAAATCCCCAGTGTAAATATATGATGTTTAAAATTCACGTCATCAGGCCACACCACATTTCGGCAGGCTCATTTCGGAGCATTTCCCGTATGTGCAGCTCGTACGTGCGATCGCATCTCGGCGATCTGCGAGTTCCCGCCTTCAAGCGGAGAAATTCGCACACACATGATGGCCTGCCCCTCATTTCGGCGATCTGCGCGTTGCTGCTCTCAGGTGGCCAAAATCGCACACACGGCCGATCTGCGCGTTACCGCTCTCCGGTGGCCAAAATTGACATGCGATATGGTGAAACGCGACGTTCGAGTTTCTCCAAATCGCATACTAAAGCCTACCTGTGCCACAGGTTGAAGGAGCCATCAGTGGTTGTTCAGAGTGATGACCATCTCCACCCACACCTCCTCCTGACAGACATCACCCTGTCAGCTGTAGCCTGGGCTGCCCCACAGGAGGAGCTGGTCAACCAGGTCAGGAAATATTGTTTTGTAAGACTACACCAAGTCAATCTCTTGGTTCAAAATTGGCACTTTATTTCTTTCTGACTTTTTACTTTTACCATTTAGGTTTAAATCAGGTTCACAATACATGTACAAATATTTTGGCACCAACAGCTGTTACCATTTTTTTTCATTTTACCAATGCATTGAAAGTTGTTAACAATCAACAGTCCAACAAAGATGAACTTTCCTGCTAACTCTTCCTTAATGTTGTCCTCCAACAGCTGATGCT